CACAATAAATGTAGCCAAGGCTTCTCTAGTAATTGCAGGTCAAAGATCATAGATATCGATTTTTATGCGATTATCTCGGTTCCTATAGCTCCAACGATATTAACACCTATTACAAAAGCTAGAGATATTAAAATTCCTAAGCACTTTTAATCGAAACTTTTTCTTATAAAATGAACCGCTCTTGAGACAGAGCGCTAAGAGTGGTAAACCCTATGCTCCAGATATTGTAGAAGCTTTGAAAACAACGATGGAGGACAAAGCAGATGATGACAATGAAACCGACATGTTTCAACGCCCGGAAAATGGCGACTATGAAAAAGAAGAAGAAGAAGAAGAAGACGAAGCGAAATAATACTTTCGTTCTTTGAATTATACAGCTGCTGAATAAGGACAAAATCCAAATATATGTACTCGTTTAATTTCTTAATGACTTTTTAATTAGACGGTAAGTATGATGATTTGCTGGCTCAATATCCCCAAGGATAAGGTCAAGAAACGGAGAAGAAGAAAGTAAGTATGATCAAATACATATATTAGATATCTATAAGTAAAGTGTTATTTTACACAATGTATTAACTAGTAAATAATACAAATTATTCATTGTTAATGATATGTATGATGATTTGAAAACTGTATTTACCAAGAATCACTGTTGACCTTGGATTGCTAAGCGCTACGCGGTTGCCGCCCTCTAACTCAAAAACGGTTGAGCGCATGAAAAAATGTTCAGAACAAAAGTTGTCGAAAAATATATGATCTGCAATTTTTATAATAGATAATTGAAATAATTGGACCTGTAGAAACTGAGATAATCGCAAAAGCCGACTTTTCTGACCTTTGACCCGAAGTAAATTACGACACGCACACGTGATCCTATTAGACTTTTGGGCCAACTTTGAGAATGGCCAACTGGAGGTGTGTACGAGTTTTCAGCGTATTCTCCCCCATTTCGAGAATGGCCCCTCCTCTTTGTTAAAATTTTGCGCTGTATCTCAAGAAGGGCTAATTGTAAAGCAATATACCTAACACCAAATTTGGTGCAAATTTAATGATCTGTAACTTTTTTGAGAAATTTTTTAAAAACAGTTGACCGTTTTCGAGATAATGATAAACGCATTCCTGACCTTTGACCCTCCGTAACGGCCCGAATAGTCACCGAATCGATGGGAAATTTTCACCAATTATTTAGACCTATAACAATAACGTGTATGCGAAAATTCACCGTTAGGTCCCTTTAATTTATTGGTCAAAATCTGGAACATAGGACTTACCTCAAAATTGGTAGGTGAAACCACAACGTGACTGCACTAGTAGACTTTAAATTGGTTTCAGTCGTACTTGAGTGATCGTCAACAGGTAGTTTCATATAGAGGCGGGCTTTCGGATAAAACGAGCAACAACTGCAGTGTGCCTCAGGGCTCTATCCTGTTCTTGATCTATGTTAATGATCTTTCCTCTCTATGCACGTCCATTGTCTCGCATGCGAACACTGGAGAATTCTTAGAACGCATGAATAATATCGATTTAGATTTTATAAAAACGTGGTGCGACAGCAATAATCTATCCTTAAACTTATCTAGGACCAATAGGTTAAACTTCAAGTGCTCATTATCCAATATCTGCTTATGTGGTGATTTTATTCATCCTACCGCCTGTGCTAAGTTTCTTGGTGCTACGATGGATGAGAGACTCAAGTTTGAGCAGCATATTGTGGCACTCTTCTAGCTGAACATCATCTAGCTGTTATGCTTTGAGAGTACCCACAGAGCAGTTAGAGCTGTGAGCTCTCAGGCCTTTCTACTTTTCATGGATCAACGGGACTGATTCAATTAAATTGAACGGTGGTTGACCGTGAGAATAGCGTGTTGAGCCGCATTGAACTGCAGGTGTGTGTATTTTGACTGTTTTGAGGTTAAATTTACCGAACTGCTAGGTTACATTTGAAATGTTTCTTTGTTTTCTGTGTTAAAAATGACCCATTTCAAATATAGAGATAATCATATGAACCTTCATACCTATGTACGTTCTAAAATCCACGGTCTAAAAAATCAACGAAAAGGATTTCTATTTCTTCGGATTTTTATCACGGTTTTTAAATACTCACAGATAATACGAATGCAGCTATTTCAAAAACATACTAAATCTTCAATGTACCTACTTGATAAATGTGAACAATTTCTATGAATCAATGAAATTGATCAATAAAATCGAATGAGAACCCGTCTTAAAGTTTGTGCTACGTTGCCAGATGTTTGGATACCAAATTACGAGTAAAATTGTCATTTTATTTTTTCAAATTTCAAATATTTGTCTTAAAATGTAAAGGCTTTGAAGCCTTTTTCTTAAAAATAGTTGAGTTTGGACCATGTTGTATAAACTTTTTTGGTTCAAAATTGGCGTGTTGAAATTTTTGTAGTCAAACCTGATACAACCTGTATAGCCATCAGAAAACGTACAATTGATGATGAGAATAGAATAGAAGATAATCATACTGGGTATCGAGTGATCGCCCATGATGATAATGATGATAATGAGTAGCAGAATCACCCTAAGGGTCTGTTCTCGGAATGTTATTTCATATGTGTACATAAAAATACCGAGCCTAATTGTTCATAATATGCCAAAGTCGCGATTAAAATATTCTCGACTGGGATTATTCCTACAAATCCTAGTGGCAACCCTCTACATAATAGATACATTTTTGCATTCGCGCCTGTCATGCGAAATTGTCTAGAAATTTGTATAAAATTTGTATGAAAGAAACGTATGGTTTAAATCGGCAACATTAAAAACTAGTTACTTCCAAGCTGTTATTTTCCGAATTAAGCGCCAAAACAAATTATCCAAACACAGTTTGATGTTTATGTTGTGTTATCGGACCCGATTTGATCCGCCCGATCAGATCGAATCAAATTCCACAAATTGAACGATATAAGCGACTTGGATACACGATTTGAAAACGCGGAATGATTTCAACTGTATGAGTCAATCTCGTCGAACGGATTTGAATTGACTGAATCGGAAGCAACACAAAATAAAATACGATACTAAAGCTATTGAATTGAAACCGGATTTAAAATGTTTTTAGGGTGCCTAACTGCTGAGTCTGGATGACCTGTTAAGTGAAAAAATACAGTTGAATGAAATGTTAGGACATTCTATAATCATTTAATATCTTGTAGAATTCAACTAGTACATAGTACATTTTCAATTTTTTCCATTTTAGGACTAATCATTCATTACAGAAAGTTTCATTGTCTAAAAAGGACGGAAAAACACTTAATAATTTGTTTTTATTGATTAGGCAATAATTTGTTTTTATTGATTAGGCAACCAAGGAATTAAAAAGTCATTAATCAGATCTTTTGTAATATTTATTGAAAGGGGCACATTTCTGATAAAATACACCATAATTAAGTGAACTTGATGCGACTTTATAATTTTGTACTAGAAGGCAGTTTTTTTGAATGAAATAATTATTGTTGAAATGAGATAATTTGAAGAATTGAAATTTCGGAAGGTGCTCTTCAAGTAAGCAAATTGGGACGTTTATTACGTTTGAGTGAATTGAAAATCTCCTTTCAAATAATGCAAATAGAAATTTAGACTTTCCCAGAAAACGACAATTGAGAAGTTCCCGATCTCTGAAATCACTGGGTGCGATTCCTACAAGATTTCCATGTTTCTTTTTTGGTAGTGTATAGTTTGAGAATTTCCAGAACGAAAACAACTCATGGTTTTGTATGTAATAATAACCTACCTATCATTAGTTGTTTTCGTCTTAATCCTAATGAAATAACACTCTAATTACTTACTGCTAAATATGACCTCTATTTTCCATGAATCTTGAAGCATTTCTGCAGTGATAGTAGTGAAAACAATAATTATGTCATTCCTCAGTTTATCTCAATAAACCCCCATTTGAAAAAATCAGGTATTGGTAAATCAGGAAAATAGTGAGCTCATTCAATGGGGCCAGCTCAAGCCATCCATTTGTTTCGAAAAGTCATAGTCAATAAATTCCTTGCTTTTACAGAAAAGTGAGTTGGATTGGAGTTGAGAGTTCTAATACAAGTAGGCATCTATAAAATTGTTTTCAGTTAGAGTTTTCCCTTGGAAAAGAATTGGGCCATACATTTTTGTTTTGCTACACACCACACCATACATTTAACTTAGGGGCATCTCTTTCAAACTCGTCGTAAGCTCTAGGATTTTCATCCCAAATTTTGAATTTGTTTGTTTATTCTTCCACACAACTGGAAATGTTGCTTCATCCGATAGGTATTATTAGAATTATCTCCCATCTAATAACGTCGATAAACCGATTTAATAACGTCTCACACATGAAATAGATTTTCAGAATCGCAGGATTTTCCATTTATAGACAATTTTTCCAAAAAAAAAATATATATATATTAATTATTTCTGGTTGAAATTTCTTTTATCTTTCATGACACGTCATGTATATAAATAGTATCTAATTAATTCTAATAATGCCTAATCCTTGTTAACGCCACATCTGGATCCAGTGAGTTTGAGTTATCATAATAATTGTAGTTATTAAGATAAACAATGTGCTTAGGCACATGCGCCCGATTACTAAAAAGGACGCAAAGTTCAGCTGCTGCTAGCCGCGAAGCTGAAACTTTTCTCAGTTTCAGCGAGCGCTCCGGGACGATCAAGCCAGAGTGAAACTCGCCCCTGATCAACTGAAAAAAGCTCTCGCAGAAATATCAACAATTTTGTCAAACAATTTTCACATGAATTTAATTTATTTATGCCCTGACAGATATCATTTTTACGTGAACAAATAACCCTGAAGAAGTTTTGACGAGGTTTTTTTCGGACGCTTAAAAAGTTTTTTCAAAGTTTCGCGCAAAACTTTCTCGACAATAACTTATTATGTGTATTTTATTTTTATTTTAAAAACCTCCCAGCTTACCTAATTTAAACTTTATGGAATATGAAAAGTGAAATGCCTTAGAGGTAACAAGTGAAATATGATGAATAACGTGACAAGTTTGTACTGTGATTTAAACAGTTTTTCGAAAAAATATGAAGATATTCATGGACCGTTGAGTTTTGTAGTTTGCGTTTTTGGCTCGATAGCCAATGTTTTAAATATTTGTGTCCTTACCACTAAAGACATGCGTTGGCCCACAAACTTAATCCTAACCGGACTTGCTATTGCAGATTTATTGGTGATGTTAGAATACATACCTTTTACTATTCATAGATACATAAATGTTGAAGGTAAAAAGTATATAGATAATTATTCATACAATTGGGCAGTCTTCACGATATTCCACGCACTATTCAGTCAAGTGTTTCATTTCATTTCCTGTTGTCTAACAGTCATATTAGCAATTTGGAGGTACTTGGCGATTACAAACCCCCACAATTCGAGACATTGGTGTGATGCTAAAAACACTTTTTATACTATTTTAGTGACCTACTTAATATGCCCTCTAATTTGTACACCGTTATTTATATCACTGAAAATAGTCACCTATAATCAAACTTGCGACAAATTTGGTAGGATTCTTGATAAAAAAGATTTGCTGAATTATACGGAAGTTAGTACAAAGAGACAAATTTATATCATAGACTATGTCAGTGAGGACTACAAATATATGAGCTTCTGGATATACGGTGTCGTAATAAAACTCGTTCCTTGTATTCTATTGACGCACTTATCCAGAAAATTAATAGTGGTCTTGTTGGAGACGAAAAGGCGGCGAAAAACTTTATTGAGTTCAAGTATTCCGATGGAGGAGTCATACGATGTCCGACCTTTCCTGCAAAAGAAATTTGAAAAGTATCGACAGGCAGATAGAACTTCAGGCATGCTGGTCGCCATCCTACTCCTATTTCTTATAACTGAATTTCCACAAGCTATTATGGGACTTTTGATGGCTACAAAGGGGCAACAATTTGAGAAAGAATGTTACAGACCTTTGGGTAAGTTATATTTTACATACACACAAGTTTTTTATGCATGATATGTTCGATTGATATTTGCCAGCATAATAAACTATTTGTGAAATTTGCTTAATTCGTCTCAGGAGTTTAGAATTCACTATGCAGTCCAAACTGTGAGTGTGGGCTCTATTATAGTACAGCTGCGATTTAACACTCATTTTCTATGAATTCGATTTATTAAATTTGCTTCAAAAATAAACACCTATATCGTATATACACTGTTCAAACAAATCCCAAATTTCAATCTAAGAATATTCGTATGTATTTTTTTTTCTGTTGGGGATTTGAAAAAATCAGGCGAGCAAACATCAATTTGGAATCCACGGACATGATTCGCTGAAACTTCGGTCCGGGTTCATCGTGCAATTTTTTCTATTCACTCAGCATATCGCATTGCTTTGATGTTTGTTTATATTTATGCATCAACTTCCTTATTCAAAACACAAATGGAAGGTATTTGTTGTCTGTCCGAGAGTTGGTACACCAGAACATTGGCATTCATCAAGGTTGTCTCCAACTGACTCCAACACGGATTTAGGTTATGCTCAGTGTTTTCCATATTCAAATGCAGATTTTCTTGTTATTCAACTTGATAAATGTGTACATACAAATATATTTGCGATAGGTGCTTAAATTATTTTTCATGATGATCATGAAAATTTTCAAAACTGAATAAAAATATGAAATAACTTTTCCAAAATATGATTATGTCCATTTTAGAAATTTTACTTATGTTGCATTCACAATTCATGCTGATTTTCCATGTCAATGAAAACTAGTTAAACATGTCAGGTTAGGTCGAAAATGAGCGAACCTATCCACCCACCTGCCGGACATTCGCGAAGAATGTGTGCAGCTGTTTCCTCCTAGCAGGTTTTGCCAATGTTCTTGGGTTTTGTTTTCCGCCCAGGTTTCAATAGCCTAATTTTCCATGTTATGGGCAACTTTTTCGCGACATTATCCGAAAGCTGTGATAGTATACAGTCAAACTATCCACAGGCGGAAATTGTCTTTTTAGGCGATTTCAACGTCCACAATATACCCTGGCTGAAACACCACAACAAAACAGATAACGAAGGCAGAGAAGCAGAAGCTTTTGCTATAAGTTGTGGTCTAACGCAGCTTGTCGATGAACCTACCCGTATCTCAGAAAGGGGCGAATTTGCAGCGCTTTTAGACTTGTTCCTAACCACCAATCCTGACTCGTACACAATTCAAGTAGATGCTCCACTTGGTTCGTCCGATCATAAACTTATAATAACATAGTGCGAAATGCTCATCCCACCAAGCCTACAACCACTTCCTCGTAAAATGTGGCACTATAAATCGGCAAAATGGAATGACCTAAAACAGTATTACCTGGATTTTCCATGGCAAGAGGTTTGCTTTAAAACAGCTGATCCCACTATTTGCTGTAATGAAATAACACAAGTCATCTTATCTGGAATGGACGCATATATCCCACATACAACTAAACGTAGAGCTAATGCAAAACCTTGGTTCAACAGCCAGTGTCAAACGGCTGTACAGAAAAAACACAGAGCATATAACCTTTGGAAACGACAACAAACCGCTCAAAACCACGCAGAATTTATAGAAGCCAGAAATAGTTGCAAAATTACTATTGACTCCGCTAAAGAAACATACAATCAAAGAATAAAAAACAGGTTGCTGAATTGTCCAAGTAGTTCTAGGTCTTTTTGGTCTCTTGCAAAAGCTGTTGGATCTAACTTCACCAAGTCATCCATACCACCACTTACAGATAAAAATAATCACTTAGCCACAACATCAGAGGAAAAAGCCAATATGCTTGCCCAAATGTTTTCCTCCAACTCCAACCTAACAGTGCCAAACGGAAAAAGTCCACCGTTCATTGAAAGGGTTTCCCATAGTATGCCAGAGGTACCCTTTTGTCACAGAGAAATACGAAAATCCCTAAAAAAGCTGGATACAAACAAAGCAATGGGTCCGGATGGCATTCCCGCAATAGTACTCAAAAATTGCGCCAACGAACTCACCCCAACTTTCGCAAAATTATTCAATTTGTCTTACAGGCAAGGAGTATATCCATCATCATGGAAGTCTGCCGCAGTACAACCCATTCCAAAGAAAGGAAAAAAGACAGATCCGTTAAACTATAGACCAATTGCTCTACTTCCGGTGATATCAAAAGTAATGGAAAGAGTTGTGAACAATCACCTAACCAAGTACTTGGAAAAGTACAAAATTATCAACTATAAGCAATACGGATTTCGAAAATATAGGTCAACTGGCGATTTACTTACATACGTCACTCACTTATGGCAAAAAACGATTGAGTTGCGGGGTGAAACAAGAACAATTGCCTTAGATATATCTAAAGCATTCGACAAAGTTTGGCATGAAAATCTGCTCAACAAGCTCAAAGCAATGGGATTATCGCCGAAACTTTGCACTTGGTTTGAAAGTTACCTAAAGGACAGATCCATTTATGTTGCACTGGATGGCCAGAACTCCAACTCTTACCAAATAAATGCTGGTGTGCCACAGGGAGCAATCCTTTCGCCAACTCTTTTCCTGATTTACATAAATGACCTCATAGATAAAACAGTAAATCCACTTTATTGCTTTGCAGACGATGGCAATGTAGTCTCCTCACTCATACCACCCAAAGGTCTTTCCGCACGTGAATTCCATCATCTTAGACTAACTCAAATATCGCAGATAAATAACGACCTGGAGTTAATAGAGGACTGGGGTAACAAAAACCTTGTACAGTTCAACGCGCAGAAAACCCAAGCAGCTCTGTTTTCAAAAAAGACCAGCACCGGTGAGCCAAACATCATGCTATCTGGAAGTGCTGTCACATTACAGAGTCAGTTGAACATCTTGGGGGTTACTGCAGAGACCAACATGTCTTGGCACAGTCACGTGGCAGATATTGCTAAAAGGGCGTCCCAAAAGCTGGGGGTGCTATTTCGTACAAGACATCTGTACACACCAAGCCAATTGCTGACACTCTACAAAGCCCAGATTCGACCAACTATGGAGTACTGCTCACATATATGGAGTGCAGCACCCAAACATACCTTAATGCTTTTGAATACCGTGCAAAAACGAGCTATCAAGCTGATCAATGACCCCGCACTTACTCGTAACTTGGATGGTCTCGAACATCGCAGATCTGTGGGCGATTTATCTCTCTTCTACAGGTACTATCACGGAAAATGCTCTGAAGAGTTGGCACGTATGATTCCACCGAGAGTAGCACCTACCAGGCGAACCCGTCAAACAGACGGTAACCATGAATTTACTGTCAAACTAGAGGCACCAAGAACCTCATTATATCAGAATTCATATCTCTGGAGAACAGCATCGCTGTGGAATAAACTCCCTGCGACGGTTTTCCCTGCAGGTTACAACCTGAACCGTTTCAAGACCAACATACACCGACATTTCCGCGCACTTGCCGCTTCTCGAGCGTGATAGGACATTTCCTTGCGAGTGCGCATATCCGCAAAAAAAAAAAAATGCCCAGCACTTGCTCTAGCAATGTGAACTAAGTTCCGACTCCCCCTTTGGCAAGGAAATCCGCCATTTCGTTGACCTCAAGTGCAGCGTCTCCCGGTATCCACACTAGGGTTTGCTTGTTTTCCTTACCTTAATTTGCTAAGGGCTTCCTGACAGTTCCAGACTGTTCTTGAACTACAGTAGGCGGAGCTTAACGCCTTCAGTGCGGCTTGGCTGTCAGAACATATAGATCTGTGAGTTTGGGGTCGATCCTGCAGCCTCCTCACACCCATTTCAATGGCATGCACTTCCGCTTAAAAGATGATTGCATTGTTCCCTAGACTGATAGATAATCTAGTTTTCGGTTTTGCCCCATAAACACCCGCTCCCACCACACTGTCTGTCTTCGTACTATCCGTGAACAGACATATATCTTCTTTTAGTAGGGCATGCTCATTCTGCACCCATTCTTCCCTTCTGGGAAAAGTCACTGTGCAGGGTAGGGTGCTTATTCTGTGCGATCTTGGCATTACGTAGGCATTCCCAAACCGCTCTGTGTTTTGATAAACTCCAGCAATTTGGTGCCTTCCACGTTCCCTTTCTTATCCACTTGATCTCTGTTCGTGTGGTATATTCTGTATGTTGTTTTTAGGGCCTTCCTTTCCGGATAGATATGTAGAGGAGGAATTCCTAGGAGAAGCTCCATGACTGCTATTGGCGTAGTGTCGAAAGCTTCTCTTATGGCCAAGCAGGCCTGTCTTTGTAGTCCATTGGAGCTTGGCTCGGACAGTGCGCTGTTGCCTCTTTTCTCACCAGGCTACTTATCATTTGTCTGATGACCATCATAGAGGGTGTACCATTTAAAAGGAAACAGGCTAAATATCTGATGCCACGTTTATTTTTTAAAAAATCGCTAGTACACGTAATTTGATTTTTTAAGGGGGAAGTTTTCTGCAACCGGTTTCAGCACATCGACTTCAACCCTCTAGTCGAGGTGGGACCAACCCTTACTATTTCAAATGGAACAAGGGGTCGATTGATACCTCTTTTAAAAGAGAGTTCAATTCTGTTTCATTTGAAAGAAAATTGAACACTTTTTTGAAACAGGTATTACTCGACCTCCTGCTCCATTTGGAATAGTAAGGTTGGTTCCACCCCCCCCTAGAGGGTTAAGTTAGCGCTGAAAATGTTTCAAAACTCACACAATCAAATTACGTGTACGAGTGATTTAAAAAAAAAGTGACATTAGATATTTAGCCTGTTTCGTTTAAAATGGTATACCCTGTATATAACCAGTATATTTGCTTGGGCCCAATTCCCCATGATTTGCCACTGATCCTGCGGCAGGTACATAGTGGAGTAGCTAGCTTTCCGTTTTATTTTTGCCAGATAGAAGTTCCAGGCAAGCCTTTTATCAAAAGTTATTCCTAAATATTTGACTTCGTTTGCAAAGGGCCACCACCCCTCGTAGCTTAAGAGGTATCAGATGT